AGACTAAAAATCAAAGGTTGGAAAAAGATATATCAAGCAAATGGCAACTGTAAGAGAGCAGGAGTGGCAATATTAATTTCTGATCAAATTGACTTTAAAGCAGCTCATTGCATCCTCACAAAATACACAAAAAGATAATAAATAGTATTCATGAGGTTTAAAATGGACTCCCATTTTAAATACAAGGTTGGTAGAAGAATTCTAAAACTAGTTATCAATGACTGCTTCAATTCTTTTCCCATTGAAGATGGGCTTGGGTCAGTGGTGCAAACAACATTATTTGCTTGGATTGGGTCACTCTACCCAATTCTCCACCTTCTTGCTTTTTGCTGTCCTGCCAACACAGAGAAACACAAACACACATACACAGACTTCAATCCCTCCTCTGTAGCAAGGGCAGCCCTGATGAAGAAACAGTTCTTCTGCTTGGGTCAAGGAAATCTGCTTAAAGCATTTTCACTAAAGTCCAAGTCCAAGCCTTAGACCAATTCTGAGATTATTTACTGCTTCATACTGAAAAAAATATTAAACATAAGACATCTGTTAGTAAGTGAGCTACAGTCGCACAGTGTGACATGAAGCACTTACCTTTCTCAGAAAGAATTTCAGGAGCTACGTAAGTCGGAGTCCCACACACAGTAAATATGGGTCTCACCACAAACTTTGCAAGACCAAAATCAGCTAGTTTCAAGGTGGTAGATTTGTCCTCATTTCGCTGAACCTATAAGGAACCAAAATTTCCAAACCAACAAAATTATGATGAGAACACAGAAGAAAAATTAGTGAGACATTTGGTATGCAACTTCAGGATCAGCAAACAATAAACCCAAACAAGCTCACAGTGTAGCCCAAGCTGGCAAATCTGATTCAACTCTGACAGATGCCCTTGTTTTCAACTAAAGAACAAATTAGTTCGATTGACTGTGACGTCCAATGTGGTAGCCACTGGTCAAAAATGGCCATTAAAATTAAAATTAATTAATTAAATTTAAATTAAAAATTCAGCTCCTCAGATGAACTAGCCACACTGCAAGTGCTCAAAAGTTCAGTAGTAGCCAGTGGCTACCATATTGGGCAGTTCAGATGGAGAACATTTCTATCACTGCAGAAAGCTCTATTGGGCAGCACTGAGTTCAAATAAGGATTAATGACCTTTTGAGCACAGACTAACTTTACCAAGAACCAGAAAATACCTGTAGGCAATGAAATGCACAGGCCGGGAAGAGAAAAGAATTGAAAATTAGAATGAAGAAGACAGACAGATAAACAAGCAATGGAGGGATGTTAAATTCTGGGCCCTAATTTAGGGGGAAGGAGCCCTGGTGATGCAGTGATTAAGCAGTCAACTGGTAACCAAACCCACCAGCTGCTCTGCAGGAAAAGATGAAGCAGTCTGCTTCCATAAAGATTACAGCCTTCGAAACCCTATGGTACACTTCTACTCTATCCTATAGGGCCACCATGAGTTGGAATGGACTCCACAGTAATAGGTTTCACTTCTTTTCAAAAAAAACAAAAAATTAGGGAAGAAGGTGGTAAGGATTGAACAGGCCAAGAGTCATTTAATAGGTTCTACTCCAAGAGTTACAGATCCCTGATGGCACAAGGGTTAAGCACTCAGCTACTAACCAAAAGGTTAGTCATTTTAACCCCCCCCAGTAGTTCTGCAGGAATAGGCCTGGTGACCTGCTCTGTAAAGATTACAGCCTAGAAAACCCTAGAGGGCAGTCCTACCCTGTCACATGAGGCTGCTGTGAGCAGAAAATGACACAATGACACCTAACATCAACAATTCCAAGACAAGCAGTTGGATGGTCTTAGAGACAAATTTCTTTTGAAATTGGAGCTTCTGTTTCCTCATCCATTTTTTAAAAAAAGAAGAAGAAAAAAAAGGAGTGATAATTTCCAGCAGAAAGGCTTATGTTGGGAGTTCCATTCAATGGTCGTAACTGACCTAGCAAAGTGTGTGCACTAAGGTAGACAAACCATCTCAGTTTGCCTGGGACTGATACAGGGGGTGGGGGGGAGGCGGTCAGGAAGGGTGGGTCCCAAACATGGGACTTTCCGTTTTAAAACTGAGACAGTCCCAGGCCAACCAGGATGAATTGGTCACTCCAGTTTGCACATAATAAATGCTGAATAAATTAATGTTTTTTCAACTGAATTAAATTGTACCTGGGTATTAACCAGGAACTCTAGGAGCTCTGGTAGCATAGTGTCTAAGGCACTTGACTGCTAACCAGAAGGCTGGCGGTTCAAACCCACCAGCCACTCCTCGGAAGGAAAATAGGGCAATCTACTTCCGTAGTGATACTGCCTCGAAAACCCAAGAAGGGGTTGCTATGAATCGGGGCCGACTCTATGGCACATAACAACAACAACTAGTGGCCTAGGGCCTAAGGCATTTGACTGCTAACTAGAAGCCTGGCTGTTTAAACCTACCAGCCACCACTCCTCAGAAGAAGGATTGGACAATCTACTTCTGTAGCAATACTGCCTCAGAAGCCCAAGGAGGGGTCACTATGAGTTGGATTCTACTCGACGGCAGTGAGTTTGGTTTTTGGTTGGAGTCTAACCACTAAAGTTTTGCAGGCAGGCAGAAAGAAATTATTCCTGAGTTTTCCTATGGTTCTCATTCCTACCCGATTTTAGGAAAGGGTAGAACTGGTCATTTTAAACAGAGAAAAGACAAAACTACCCTCACCTCCAAAATGAAAATAGGGACTGAAATCCTATCTTGCATGTCCTCATCAAAATTTATCCCACCTATGCCTCATTCCTTTGAAGTACATCCAGGTAGCTGGCTATCTGATCTCTGATAAACCAAGTTCCTCTGCCCAATCAATATGGCCTTCACCTCCAAGGTATTTGCATGTTAGATGATTTATAGGAAAAATTAAGTTTTAAGATAAAAGAAATGAATCTCAAGTGGTAAGTATTGCAAATATTTAGGTCACCATAATATAAATAATACAATTTCACTTCACATCCACTAAAATGGCTATTAGGCACCTAAGAGGTACAAGCAGTTTCCAACTGGCTGCTAACCCAAAGGCTGGCGGTTCAAACCCACCCAGCAGCTCCATGGAAGAAAAGTCCTGGCAATCTGCTGTTGTAAATATTACAGGCAAGAAAGCTCTCCAAGCCTTTCTTTCCTGGTCTTTTCTTGGAAGCCCAGGTAGCCAGGCAGTGTTCTGAGGATCTTGGCCCACACAGCGGGAATGTCCCCAAGGATATAATCACTCTTCTACCTAGAGGAATCCATCTTGGACCCTCAGAGCCTGAAGGATTTGTGGCCAAAGTACTTCCTGTAACAACATGGTGAGACTCAGAGTGGAGAATGCCATGACTCTGCCCCCTGCTGGCAGGAGGCCCATGAACTGACCACACCACAGCCAACTTGGGCTGTTTTCTTGGGGGCCTCCAGAAGAGGCTGTCTCACTTCCTGTGACTGAAATAACTCTTTGCTTGAAGATTCAGCATCATGAACTAGTTATAAGCACAGACACTGAAGCCTGACTGTCAGTGTTCGAATTCTAGCTCATTATTTAATATCTCAAGTAACTTGCCCTCTCCGTGCCTCTGTTCCCCCATGTGTAAAACAGGGCTGTGAATGATCTACTTTGTGGGGTTATTATGAGGATTAAGTGAATTAACATTTCTAAGGCATTAGGAACTGTTTCTGGCACCTAAAAAGCACTTTAAGTGTTAATTAATTAAATTGTATTATTTTAGCCTCCATAATAATTCACCTCTAAAGAGTAGGAGCTCTGGTGGCATAGTGCCTAAGGTACTTAACTGCTAACCAGAAGGCTGGTGGTTCATACCCACCAGCCACTCCTCGTAAGGAAGGTTGGGCAATCTACTTCCATAGTGATACCGTCTCGGCAACCCAAGGAGGGGTCGCTATGAGTTGGGTCCGACTTGATGGCACATAACAATAACGAAGAGCAGGAATGACTTCATGCAAAATAAGTACAGAAAGGTGGACTTTTAAATTTTCCTCCTCCTCATTTAGGATCTGCTCATCCAAACCGCAAGGGCTATGATGGTTTAGCGGCAGGATTTTCACTTCCCCTACAAAAGACCTGGGTTCAATTCCCAACCTATGCACCACCTCATGTGGAGCCACACTCACTATCAGTAAGCACTCACATGTTGCTACAATGCTGAACAGGTTTCAGCGGAGCTTCCAGACTAAGACAGACTAGGAAGAAAGACTTAGAGATCTACTTCTGAAAATCAGCCAAAGAAAACCCTATTAATTACGATTACCCAATCTGCAACTGAGCATGGGGCTGGTGCAGAACCAGGCATTGTTTCGTTTCATTGTGCATGGGGTTGCCATAGGTACAACAGCTAACAGCATCATCCAAATTGAAGTCCCCCTCATATCCTAATCCCAGGTATCCAGATGCCTTCACTCAGGCATGGGCCGAGTTTATCCTCTGAAGTCAAAGCTCCACCTCTTACTTATCCAATGACTCACAATAGAACCTGATTGCTCAGATCAAAGGTGAACTGAGCAGTTAATTAGAACACTATGTGAAAATTTACTGGAATAAGCCTGGGGCAATGTCATTCAAGTAAGAGAGTCTTTGGAGCCACCAGAGCTTCAGGATAAATTATCAACGTGTCTGCAGGCACACACCCTCATCCTCAGTCCTCTACTGGAACTGGTACAAAAGTTCCTACTGCCCCTACCAGCCTTTGGGAGGCAGGAAGGCAACAGGGAGGACATGGGTTCTCCCTGTCCCATCAGAGCCATGGACACAGCAATATCCAGATGCATGGAGGGGCAGCCATTCCTCCTGTGTCCCCAGAGAATAAGAAGTTCTCCACACTGCTTTGGTTCCTGAAAGCCTGCTGACATCTCTGTAAGTAGAATGAGTCTTAATTACTGCATCCAAGTCACCTGGCAGGCAACCTAATCAATGTCTCCATAATTAACCTAACCTAATGGAAAGTCATAGAGTCAGAACTAAAATGCAGTTCTGCTTTGGTCTGCATATCGAAAGAGGCACAGCCCAAAAGTGGACAACATGAATAATTATCTGATTTATTTAGGCTAGAAAATCTAGTTTGGAAGGGAAGGGAAAAAACAGTGTAGTATCTTGAATTTCCAGATGGATCATCTACATTAATCACATTTGCTGTATAATTGCAGAAAAAAAAATGTCTACCACAAATATTTGTAAATATTTCCAACCAAATGATCAGCACTGAAAACATTTGGCTGATTTAATATACCAAAATAAAATATGTATTTCCATGTGAATGTGAAAGAGTCCCAAAACTCTAGGTGTGTGGCATAAAAGGAGCTTCTACCCACGATGCAAGATGAACTTCATTTTGTTCAGGCCAATCAAATAAGAGGCATTCAAGCTGAGCTCACAGTGATGAGTTAATCTCACTGACTCAGAGAAAGTAAGAAGAGGAGAAACAGAAATGCACCTACTCTCAGAAGGTTTTACACAAGCTGCCCCTATCCTTGGAAGATTTAAAAAAAAACTATTTTTGCAAAATGCTTGCATGGGCTAGCTCTAAGATAAAACATCTATAGATTAACTGACATATGACTTATTGTCACTAATAACTAATGGTTATTGTTTCCCTAAACTTCTCCTATATAAAAGCCCTTCTCATTTTCTGTACTTTGGAGCAATTTGTAATTTTACAGATTGCTGCTCAACTTCAGTGGCAAAATTCCTTTGGTTTTTG